GCGGCTGTGAGGTCGTATAACGGTGGGCGGATCTGAATGTAAGTACCCAGTAAGATTTTCACATTAAACTGCTGTAATTGTACCGTAACTTTTGTGACAGTGTACAGAATAGACAGTTTAGCTTCATTTTAATTCGTAACTGTTCATGAACTTATCGCTCACTGTTTTTTCAAGTTTGGTCGCGGTCGCATTAAAAGTCCTGTGGGACCGGGGCCATCCCGCAGAACTGAGATCGTCCCACAGGTTCTAGATCTCGTAAAAAAGATTTTTCTGGGTCTCGATCCCGTAAAAAAGTCCCGCGGGACCGGGACCGTTCCGCAGACTTCTACTACCATCTTCATTCTAGTTTTTTGTTTTTGATTCCAAATACAATCAATCAGAACAGTTGGTCCATGCAGGTTTCAATCAATAATCGATCAAGAAAATTCCATATGGTGCTCTACTATTAGAATGCAATGCATCTAGAACATTGAATTTATGCAGAACTTTTGATCGACATTTCTGAAAAAACAATTATCTCATAAAAGCACACACATATATCAATTTTATCTTAAAACAGAAGCAATAAAAAAAATTTTATACGATAAGCTGTTAGTTCAAGCAGTACACTTCTTGTTTCTGTTGATGACCGTTCTTATGGAAACTAATCATTTAATTCGAAAATAAAAGTAAAAAGTTTTTTTAGTATCTTCTATGATATGAGAACACAATAGAAGTCAAGTCACTACTTCTTCTTTCCTTCTATTTCCAGAACAGTAGATGAAAAAAATTTCAAAAGAAAGAACTGCTGATAATGATATGCGTAGACTCTATGTAGTTTTTATAGAAGAATTATTTTTATCTCATATGTTCTCTTTCTTCTATAAGAAAAAAAAGTATGAAAATTATAGTCTATACTGTCAAGTACAACCATTCATATTCATTTTTTTACAAAATAGAAAAGCGTTAAAGCAGCTTATTATACTTCTTATACTTATAACTATAAACAGCCGTTTAGAATTTAACCCAAAAAGAACATAATCATGTCCGATAAAAATGATCAACAAAATGACAAACAAAATGAACAACAACAAGATGCTCAACACCCTGGTATGAATCCAGATCCAGCTGAACGAGGGAAAGAACTTGGAAGAGCAAACGCACAAGGAGGAGAGTCTGTGGGAACCGGAGGACACGGATATAGCGGTAAGTTCATGGAGAAGAACAAGTTTTGTATCAGTTTGTATCATTTAAATTTATTTGAAAACTACTTTCAAAAATGATTGAAAAATCTTGCATCTTGCTCAAAAATTAATTTGAATAATAACATTTAAGACTTACCCCATTATTATTAATTTAGGATTATTAGACAATACTAAAATCACTATTTTCGTAGCTCCCCATGGACTCAAAATTCTGAGCCCAGTTCAGTCCATGCTCTTGAAAGTTTGAGTTCAGTCGAAGTCCATGAGTTCAAAAAATTTCCAGCCCAGTTCATACGGAGCTCTGATGACTATCACTCAATCTCATCGCCTACGTAGATGAATTACTCAAACTCACTTTTATGCTATCCGTTGATCTACACAAACTAATTAGAAACGTACTTCGACGCTGTAGTTTCACCGTAATATAAATCCTGTAATTTTATAATGCATGATTTCCAGGAGAAGGCAGTCTTGTTGTCGGTACTCTTTCAGTATGATTGTGTACGCCAGACTTTGACACTAGAAACGATTCGATTTCATTGCTCTTTTGTACTGCTTGCAGTTCAATATCACATGATGGAAATTTCTTGTATGAAGCACACCGATATTTATAGTTATCGCCATTTATACCTGATTCACTTCGAATTTTAGACACTTTATTTTCTGACATAAAGTTATTAGATTCAGCTTTCGTAGTGCAAATCTCCAACGGAAGCCACTGTCCGCGCATTATTTTGTTTATGGTTGTTTTACTATTTACGTATTTTTGATGTATAAATATGAAGAAACGTGCATATGAAAAATTCTACTTTAGACCTAGAAGTGTTATGTGCCGCTGACGCCGCCGACACAAGAGAATTTTAAAATTTTACGTCGTCTCCGTCATAGACGGAATTTATTTTTGAAGTTTTACGCCGCCGCTAATTAAAAAATTTTCTCAAAGCTTTTTCAAAAATCTTTGAAAAAGAATTATTGAAAATTAGAAATTTTCTGTGCTATCAACTAGAGTAATGTGCAAAAGACAGAAATAAACATTATATTGACATTTATCTTTAAAATATATTATATGGGGCATTGATGAACGCTGTTTCGTTCTTCTCGCGTCTCCTTTTATCACCGTTCTGCGGCCCACTCCTCTACCTTATCAGTCATAATGGCGATAATATGGTGTGACGAAAGTGCCACAAGCCATTTAAAACTGTGCACATACAGTGAAAAAATATCATTTTTTAAAACCATTCTCTTTCTAGTTCTGTTCTCTAAACAGCGTAAAAAATAAATGATTCACATTCAGTTCAAACTCCGTTCTCTTTTCGTACTTTTCCCATCTACAGGATTAAGATTTTCTTACCAGATTACTCTGCTCATCTATTTTGTTGTTTTTCCTGTAAGTATTATTCTTATTTTTCGTTAACAACACATTTCCAAAATTTCATCTGAAAGGATATGGCGATCGTATTTTTAATATTTGAAGGAAAAGACCATTCAAATAGCTTTCAATTCAAACAATTAGGATGTTTTTTTAAGATCGACATACATCTTTTCATTTTTATCTTTTCAGGAAGTGGCGGTAACCAACCAGTTGGAGGAAAACATGCCGGTAATACTTCAGGTTTAACTGAGGAACAACTTCATCCAGGTATGAATCCAGATCCGGCGGAACGAGGCCGTGAACTAGGCCATCAGAATGCCCATGGCGGACATAGTGTTGGGACTGGAGGACACGGTACCACTGGCGCCAATTTAAAATCGAAATAATAGCAATAAACACATTGACAAATGAACTAAAATGTTTAGAATTGCACATCTAATTTCGCTACTTTTTAATGTTTTTTTCATGTACTTTTTTTCTCTTGTATAAATATAATGAACAGTTAGAAAGAAGTCCTTTATAAATTTTCTACTAATGTGAAAAGTTGAATGTATTGAGTCGCAAAAAAATTCGTTAAACGTACGGTCACCTTGTTTCTCTCTTCTATAATTTGTGTGATAATATTGTTAATTGCTTTGATAATTTGCCTTTTAAATAATTGATTAATTATATCAGATTTGAGATGATGAAAATATCATAGATGTCTTAAACTGTTCTTACATCATATCGATTTTTCAAAACTTTCCGATAGGATATAGAACGATTTATCATGCCACTCTTACTTTTATAAGGTTGCTGCATGTTCTTGGAATGGATATTAAAGTACAAAATATTATATATCTCTAGTGCTAGTCAATGCTTAACAACATAGTATGTATTCAACATGATTCATAATTTAATGTATTTGTGTCTAAATTATATTCTCCGGAAGAGCGTGTACAGGAATAAGATAAATTACAGATGTAGACAGGTTAGTAGTCGCGCTCCGATCCCATCTCGATGGAATGGAATAGGTTTCAGAAAATTTTTGACAAAATCGGATGAGACAGGGCATCAAAAAACCTCGTTCCGCCCATCTCTGATAAGTAACTTGGATGCAATAGTTTCTTATCGAAAAAAAAATTTATTGGTTTTGACTTTGTCTCAATTTTAGTGCAAAAACATAGAAATAATAATCAATATAAAAAATGCTGATAACTCGAGAATTAGAATAACTAAAATAGTAGGAGGAATACTAATTTCTTGTTATCTTGCATCATCTGACATTTTCTTGGAATACAGATACACTCGCATGCATATCCATTTATTTATACTTGAACCGATCGTCTTAGTTGTATAACTTGTATAACTTCAAACAAAATAACAACTTATAAATTGTATAAAATAATAAATGAGTTCGGAAAAAAGAGATACTTGAGCTCGGTATGTTTAATTGGCTTTAAAATGAGAGAAATGACCTCAGTTGTAATAAAAGTATATTTTATTTATATAAATGAGAGTTTTGAGCTCAGAAATTTAATAAAGTTTCAAGTCAAAATTCGAAAGTCGGATTTTGCTCGAAATTCAAGCTCTATAGGCAAAAACTGACTAAAAATTCAATATCTCAGCAACAAAGCACCATGGGGATGAACCAACTTAGGGTATTTCACTACTCACTGAGGTCTACAAGATACAAGTAGTCCGAGTTCAAA